GTTACAATCCCGCTCATGAGCACTGGTCAAATATGCAAATACATGTAGGTTATTTGCTGCAGTCCAAGGCCTCACCCCTACAGCAAACACATTACCTTAGCTGAACTCTTAGCCTTGTTGGGAAGGGAGGGACAGGAACCCAAGCCCCTGACTACCAGACACAAATGACTCAACTGCTTCTAGCATTTAAAGTACATTATGTGCTTTCTTGTTGTCTTCCCCAACAAAGGAACAAAACACTCCAGATGCGTTCGGTACAACACTTCATTTACCATCTTCTGTGAAAGCCCGAGACACTCTGACCAGTGGGAGTCAGATGGAAAGCTTGGCTTTCAAAAATGGCTATTAAATTCCTGATTAATATTAATGAATAAAATAAACCTTTTTTTTGGTGTTTTTCTAAGAGGAATGAAGCTTTCAGACCAAATCAAATTTAAAAAATTTTTTCTTTAAAAACATTTTTTTTCTTTATTGATGTTAGAGAGAGGAAAGGAGAGGGAGAGATAGAAACAATGATGAGAGAGGACATCGACTGGCCGCCTCCTGCACGCCCCCCACCGGGGATTTGGCCCACAACCTGGGCATTTGCCCTGACCGGGAATGGAACTGGTGACCTCTTGGTGCATGGGTCGATGCTCAACCAGAGCCACACCAGTCGGGCACATTCAAATTTTAAATCAAATTTAAAAAAAAAGTTTAAAACCTCTTTACACCCATCAAATCTCCCTAGATAACCTAGATGGAGTTTATAACAAGAAATTAAAAGCGGATAGTCCCTTTTCCCCTGCTACCTTCCAGATTTTTTTAGTATTAACCATCTTTATAATAAAGTGGGAAGGTTAGAAAAGTTATTTTCACTTATTTCACAGTAAATTTGTGTATTGGTGCTTTGTACCTTAAGTAGGCTGGCTGGGGGTTTGTTTTCAGATTTAAAAAGGTTTTTGTCTTCGTGTCATTAGTTCATTATTTTGTTTTTCTCTTTATTTTTACCTTGGATTTAACTTCTTCTTTTTTTTTTTTAATCCTCACCTGAGGACATTTTTCCATTTTTTGTACAGACAGAGTGGGAGGGAGAGAGAGAAACATCGATGTGAAAGGGACACATCAAGTGGCTGCCACCCGCACGACCAACCAGGGCCGGGGACAAACTGCAACCAAGGTACATGCCCTTAGCGGGAACCGAACCCGGGTCTCTCTGGACCGCAGGCCGACGCTCTAACCACTGAGCCAAACCGGCCAGGGCGGATTTAACTTCTTTAGACATAGTTTACTCCAAAGCAAGGGCGTATATACTGGGAACACTTAAAAATGTTTTTAGAGTAAATGAACTGTAAAATTCTTGCCTGTGTGTCTAATACTGTCTTTGATAAACTAACTGGAAACATACAAATATTTACGACGATATTTTACATCTTATCCAATTCAATCCTCCAGACAACTCGACTATATGTTATCTTTTTTTTTTTTTTAACCTTCACTCGAGGACATTTTTCCATTTTTGTTCAGATAGAGTGGGAAGGAGAAACATCGACGTGTAAGAGACACGAGTGGCTGCCACCCACACGACTCCAACCAGGGCCGGGGATGAATCGCAACCAAGGTACGTGCCCTTGATCCGAATCGAACCCGAGACTCATTGGTCCCCAGGCTGACGCTCTAACTGCTGAGTCAAACCAGCCAGGGTATATGTACCTATTTTTATAGATGAAATCTAGGCTCAGAGTTAAAAACTTCCTCAAGGTCACTTACACGAGAGGCAGAAATCTAAACCACCAAGAGACTATGGAAAGACACGATGCTAAAATGTTGAGCATGTCTTTGGGCTTTTTACACATGGGTTAGCCAAACAATTCACCTCCGGGTAGAAGAGGGCAGTGGAGTATTTAGCTTAATGGTTACTTTGCTCAAGGAGTCAGTGTTGACAGTGAAAGCAGACCGGTCTCATGCTGTCCTCCTGAAACTAGACAGCACAGAGCACACCGGGAACATGGGCTGAGCTGGTCCAGACATAAGCACGTGCTCCGACGCCCACGGGATTGACCAAAGTATTCCAGAAACGTCCCCAGCCTGTGTTTCCCCGGATTTCTACAGAATGGAAACAGTGGTCATTATTCAAATGAAAGCAAAAGCCACCCGTTCTTCCAAGCCCCACTCCAGATGTCCAGAGACACAGACAACACGCACACTGCAGACCGAGGGCAGGTGCCCTCAGCACCTGCGTGAACCCCGAGGCGCAGCACTGCACTGACAGTCACTGAGTTGAGAAGTGATTAAATACTGCAGATATGTACGGCACGAAATGAGGCCTGAACAAAGTAGAGGTGGAATCAGAAATCCCGGACCCTTTTTATTTGCAGTAACATCAAACCATCCATTTAGTTTCTGGTCTCCCATCAGCTGGTGTTAACTAGGGCTGTCTCTGGGACCATGCAGTTGCTTGTGTCCACTTGGGATCTGAGAAAGGAACTGAGCACCAGGGCAGCACCTTCTCCAGCTGGCCCAGGAGGTCGGGGAGGTGGGGACACCGGGGAGGTGGGGACGCCACACCTGAACACTCAGAGAGGGAGGGAGGGGAGCTGCTCTCCCTTTGTTCTCAAAGCAAATTCAGTGAACAAACTGTCACCAGGAAGTCAAATGTATTCATCACTTAGACCTTCAGGCTAAGACACCTACCCTGAAATAAACTTACCAACGAAGCCCAAAGATTTAGTACAAATAGTACAATTTGTACCCAGTTTCCTCTCTCTTTTTTTTAGACAAACACCAAATAAAATGCAGGTGAAACAGATGAAACACAACCAGCTGACTTGGAGACTTACACTAACCCTAAAGAATCTAAAAATCTGTTTGTTTTTTTTAAAAATATATTTTATTTATTTATTTATTTTATCCTCAATCGAGGACACTTTTCCATTTTTTGTTCAGATAGAGTAGGAGGGAGAGAGAGAGAGAGAGAGAGAGAGAGAAACATCGACACGAAAGGGACACATCGAATGGCTGCCACCCGAATGACCCAACCAGGGCCGGGGACAAACTGCAACCGAGGCACGTGCCCTTAGCGGGAACCGAACCCGGGTCTCTCTGGACCGCAGGCCAACGCTCTAACCGCTGAGCCAAACCGGCCAGGGCTAAAAATCTGTTTTAATGTGAATTTAAAATAAAGCACTCGGGCACTGCTCTGTAAGTTAGGTAACAGTCGTTCTGCTAGAAATCCCTGGGTGGAAAAAAAAAAGATTAAGAAAACCCTTTCCAAAACCCACCAGGCAGGTTGCTCCATTCACTTGGCTGAGGCCATGGAGACCACCCCAGTTTCCCACAGAACCCTCTCGACTGTGCTGTGATATCATGGCCTAGAAGATCCAAAGTGCCACTGGACAAAAGGACAGCGCTGTTGTTGTTGTTTTATCATTAACCATGGTTTGGGGTAATGTCTGAATGGGAACATTTGATATGGATGGTCAGATGAAAGATACCAAAATGTCAGACAGCCCATCGACTGCTGTTGCCATGAGATTCAACAGTCAACATCAGTCTGATAAGCTATCCGACAAGGTGGTACGGCCATGGAGATGTCACCACAGGAGGCAAGACAAGCAGACATTCAGGCGGGATTTGACCAGGCAAATCAGCCATTTCTGGCCTGTTGAGATTTAAACCCAATTCTACTCTCAATGTAAAGTCTGTACCAACTTTCCTAAAGGAAAAAAGTGAAATTGTTTATTTCCCTCTCAAGCAAAACAAAACGACCCAGTTCAACTTGAAACATCACAAAGGAAACATCACAGAAGAACAAAACTGAAAAGGGCAAGAAAATTAAGTTACATATGAAAAAGTAAATTTCTGTTAAAACCAGAGTACAAGCTGAGCTAAAATTAACACATGAGAAAGTGCAGATTTCTTCAAAGTGATTTCTCTCTCCAGTGTTCTTTGATTTGTATACTCCCATCTCTCCTGTTACCACAAACCACGAACCCCTCCCGGCACTGTCCTTATGGGGTTGTCGGGTGCAGCCAGCCTAACAACAACGCCTGGGCGGGGTCTCTTTTCAGGCAAATAAATGACGACTTAAGAAATTACGATTGTAGGTGGATTTGGCAAGACTGACATTCAGTTGGTAGAAGCTAAAAGGAAGTAAAAAAATCAAAACGCTCAAGAAAACGAACACAATTTTGGAATGATCAAAGAGGTCTTTATAAAGTTTTTTTCATGACTTCATTCTAAATATACAGAATAAAAAATGGTGTCAGCTCTTTCGCGAGACACCAATCAGATTTTCCTTATACTGTCTCAAAATTTAAAGATCAATTTCCCAAGAGGGTGTGCAATGCATCATAAAATGGCCTTTTTTTGTAGGTGGGAGGAAGGGCTGGGCAGGATGGCTTATTAAATTGTTTCATGATAAGACATGCAAAACTGTTATCCCAACTAATATCTATATACATTTTGATGATTTAGAAAAACAGAGCAGTCATTTGTGACAAGCCTAAAATGCTGGACATACTTAACATACTCAGGAACTTTTTTTGTGGTGTCCAGAATTCTTTAATTATAGTACGTGGGCCTTTTGCAAGAAACAAATAGAAGGCCAGTTTCCATGAAATTTGCTGCTGACCATCCCCAGTCCACCCTAATAAATACAGCTTGAACGGAATTGAGGGTGGATACCTTACCTTAACACACAAAGGAAAAAGTATGTCAGTGCAAAATATGGGCTAAATTGCTTTCAGGAAAAAAAAAGTAAATCGATAGAGGATGGAAAAGGGGAGTTTTCTTTCCCGGTTTGGAGTCCCCCCAAGTAAGGCAGAATCCATCCACTCTAATTTCTGCTGGTGAAACTTTTCCTGCTTATTTAGTTTTCTCCTCTGCGTTAAACCGCTGCTGGATTCTTTTGGCATAACTCTGTGCCATGGAGTTAATGATGGACAGGATGAAGTAACACACCATTGCAACGACCAACTTCTCAAACATCCAGGACAACCAGTTTTCTCCCTGCAGGAAGAAATGCAGAACAACCCAGGAGAAACACTTCATCATTTCAGTAGTAAAACAGGGATCATGTACAACGTCTTAAGGAAAATAATGAGACCATGGGAGCCTAAACTTATAAAGCCTGAACAATTAAAGAAGAGAAGCCTTGTGTCTCTAGCTACCCCGAAATGCACAATCGGACCCATTCACTCCCAGTCATTAAGATCTCACTTTGTTGGCTATAAAGTCAATGTTGATTCATACAGTGTAGAACGGGGCAGTGTGAGGCCATCCGTTGTCTTTTGCTGAATAAGAATAAAGTTTGCAGACACTTTATTGGGTAGTGTACAGGGTAGTGTCAAGATAGTTATATGTTCTTGTTCCAGTAATGGGAGCAGCTTTTAAAATATAATTGTTATCTATTTCTGAAATCATGTTTGGTCAACGGAGGGCAGCAAAGGGCCACCTAAGAGTATGAGGCCATCCAAAACAAACAAAACCACCCAGCTCTGCTTCCTTCAAGTTTCCCAGCTCGGGGTATTGCTTACTCATCCTCTCCTAGTCATTTCCCTTTGTCACAGAACAGGTTACAGAAAAGGCGGGCTTAGTTTAAGTTCAAGTCTTTATGCTCAGCTATATTAAGAGCTTTGTTTTATTAAAAAATGATTATTTTCCCACCTCTGAAAAGACAAATAGTGCAAAAATGAAGGGAGATGTTCAAGAGAACTCAGAAAGTCCCATACCTTGTTATGCAATACATTTCAACTTTTTAATCCATTCCGGAAGTATACTTGCTAATAAATCACTCAAGATCAAGGCAATAACTCATTTGACATAACAGATCTATTATTTTCCACTAGCCCTACCCTTGATTTGCAGAGAAGATGTACAAAACAGAAGTAACATTTTCTGATTTAGACAAATTTCCCAGTAGCCTGAACTTTTGTTGGGGAAGACTGGCAAACAACCCCACTCCATCTGTGCATCGTGCGGGTGAGCGCGCAGGCCCTGCGCTGTGGGCGGGAGAGGGCAGTCTCACCTGCGGTGTGCCCATTTCTCTCCGGTGGTGAAGCTTCTGCCGCTGGGCCTCCAGGTATTCCTGGAATGGCTTCTGCAGAGATGGACCTATGCCGGGGACAGCACTGGAAGCAGGGACAACACCCCAAGGAAAAAAGCACATTTGGGAAGAAAAGAAGGAAAGATGTTAAAGAAATATCCACTTACCGCCTGGATTCAAAAAGCAGGGATTGGTAGAGAGAAAAAAAAGAAAAACTATCAGCAGAGCTGGCAAAATCTTATGAACTTTTTTGGGGGGATAAAAATCCACCCTTTAAAAACCCCTTGAAGGAGAGAAATCTCTCCCACCAACATGGTTTGGGAGAGAGCAGAAGAGTTCTAGCAGAAGAGTTCGTCCTCAGAGGGAGGCGAGCTCAGCTGAGGCTGCACACTGGTGTGGTACAAAGGATAAAATGAATGACTTCTGAGAAGTCCCACATTTATCACCCCCAGTTCCTGTAAGAACTGGTTTGAACCGATTAATAAGGAAATGACTTATGCTTGTGTCATCCCTAGTTGAAAAAGAAACTGCCCGCCCTCTCTCCGACTTGTCCCATCTCTTTAGAGGGGGCGGTACTTTCTCAATCTAAGTCCTTATTAGGACAATCTGTGCGTCATCCCTTTCCAAAAAGAATGCATTAGCAAATTTGGGAGGCCCCTCCCACTAGTCAGAAGTCAGTGATTAACAAAGGAACAAAGAAGGACTATGAACCTTGAATCACTTCATGGTTTATGGTAGATGGTTTGCACAGAAACTACAGGACATTACTAAACAACTTGTTCCCAGATGACTGGGATAGCAGTCTCTGATAAGCTCCCTCTCACCCAGAGTAAGTGGAGACAGTGCCGTTAAACCGGTTTGGCAACTGGAGCTACCGGACTCCAGCTTCAGAAATGCTTGCGGGCGTTTTTTAAAATGGTAACTTGGGGCAGTTTAGGAAACCAAACATCTCTATTTTCTGTCCCCTTTATTTTCCAATCTGTCACAACAGGGCTAAGAGGTAAATGCGCCCAATCTCTTTCCTGGGGCCAGCAACCTGTATTTCAACATATGCCTAGTGCTCTCCCTAAAAGTCACTATTAGATGAACTGCGCCTCATTTCTAGAACAATCCAGTTGCTGTTTTCTGCAAGAAAAAGCAAAGGAAGAGAATTTTTTTGCTATTATATTTACCAGAAGCTAACAAATACATAACTGCTGGCTGATACATTTCTTTAATCCTTTTAATTATCAACCACCTAACTCTTTTTAAACATTTTAAATTTATTTTTTATTTTTATTGATTTTTTTAGAGAGAGAGGCAGAGAGAAGGAGAGCGACAACTAGAAACATTGATGAGAGAGAACATCAACTGGCCGCCTCCTGCATGCCCCCCACTGGGGTTCGGGCCCACAACCTGGGCATGTGCCCTGACCGGGAATGGAACCGGCAACCTCTTGCTGCATGGGTCGATGCTCAACCAGTGAGCCACGCCGGGTGGGCTCAACCACCAAACTCTTAATGAAGTCCTTATTTTGTGTCCAACACTGTAATCAGTGCTGTGGGGGAAAAACCAGCCCACGCCCACAACAGACTTAAAATCATTATGGGGATTCAACACACACACACACACATACCCCTGAGCTAATTTGGGAACAAAAGAATTTACAAATCAATATTTAACTTTCTGGTACAGAGATATATTGCAAAGGAACTGGAAAGAGAGCTCAGTGCGGGGTGCAGCTGTCCTTGAATGAACACTGAAGGGTATGTTAAGGAGCCTGAATGCACATGTGCAGTAGAGGTTATGGCTGCACGGGTTAGACCACTCCGGAGACCCTGACAACAGACACTGAGATGGAGGAGGGAGAAGTCCTACAGTCTCAGTCTCTTTCTCTCCTTGACTTTTTGAAATGGAATGTATTGGGGTGACACTGGTGAATACAATGATATAAGTTTAAGGGGCACAATTCTATAATACAGTATCTGTATATTGTATCGTGTGTTCATTCTCACTGACTTTTATCAGGACTGGTTCTGACTAGAAAGGGGCAACAACAGTACTACAGACTTCCTCTCCAGAAGAAAGATTTTCCTTGTGTAGTTCTTTATATAATGCATAAGGGAGTGCAAATACCTCATCCACTGACATTTGAAACAAACCACATGAATATAAAAAAAATTCTAGCGAAATACATAAAAAGATCGGCTTTGAAGACTACAGATTTATAAGAACTTTCCTTCGGAAATCAATTCATTCACACTTAATACCTATTATTTTAAATTCCCAAGGATAGCCCTAATCAAGCCATTATTTACTTTATTATTATTATTTATTAAATATATTTTTTCTGTATTGATTTTAAAGATAGAGGAAGGGAGAGGGAGAGAAACATTGATGAGAGAGAACATCAACTGGCTGCCTCCTGCATGCCCCCCACTGGGGATCGGGCCCACAACCTGGGCACGTGCCCACAACCTGGGCACGTGCCCTGACCAGGAATCAAACAGGCAACCTCTTGGTGCATGGGTCAGCGCTCAACCACTTAGCCACACAGGCCAGGCTATTTATTATTTATTTTTTTAAGACACACAAAAAATCCTTCCATTTAGAAAGGCTGAAATGATGGTATGCTAATCAATAATGGCTTTATTAAACAGCTAGGCTATAAAAGAAATGCTTCAAAAGCGTCTGGTGTGATGTCCTCCAGGAGCTGGATTCCATTTACGCGTCTTGGTCTTTGTTCAGACCTCTGCCTTCAGAATGGAGGTGAGCAGAAATACAGTTTCCCTCAAATCGTTCTTGGGCTCTAGGGTCAAGTAATTATTTAAGGAGACAATGCCCTGGCCTGATTGGCTAAGTGGTCAGAGTGTCAGCCCTCGAACCAAAGAGTCATGGGTTCAATCCCAGTCAAGGGCACGTACCTCAGTTGCGGTTCGTCCCTGGCCCTGGTAGGGATTGTGCGGGAGAAGTCAATGTCTCTCTTGAACTGATGTTTCTCTCTCTCTCTCTTTCTCTCCCCCTCCCCCCATCTGAAGATAAATAGAAAAATATCCTTGGCTGAGGATTAAAAAAATAATAATGAAAATTAAGAGCCAAGACTCAAATGCTAGGAATATTCTGATTTTTGTTGTTGCTGTTGAGGGAAATGAGGGAGGGACTGGCAATAATCATTCTGGATGCTCTTCAAAATAATTTGAAAAAATAAATGATTTGCCATTGGAAGTCCACTTTGATTGACAGAGAATACATGTCATTATATATTTACATGATGGGCTTCTATTTTTTTTTTTATTCTCACCCGAGGAGATTTTTTTGTTCAGATAGAGTGGAAGGAAAAGAGAGGAAGAGAGAGAGAAACATCGATGTGAAAGGGACACATCGAGGGGCTGCCACACACACCATCCAACCAGGGCCGGGGACAAACTGCAACCGAGGTATGTGTCCTTAGCGGGAACCAAACTCAGGTCTCTAGGGACCGCAGGCCGATGCTCTAACCACTGAGCAAAACCGGCCAAGGCCAGGATGGGCAACTTTCAAAGAATTATTTTTTTTTTTTTTTTTTTTTTATTCTCACCCGAGGACATTTTTCCATTTTTTGTACAGATAGAGTGGGAGGGAGAGAGAGGAAGGGAGAGAGAGAGAGAAACATCGACGTGAAGGGACACATCAAGTGGCTGCCACCCGCACGACCAACCAGGGCCGGGGACAAACTGCAACCGAAGTACGTGCCCTTAGCGGGAACCGAACCCGGGTCTCTGCGGACCGCAGGCCGACGCTCTAACCGCTGAGCCAAACTGGCCAGGGCTCAAAGAATTATTTTGGGCTAATGCTGAGGTTAATTTTTCAAGGTGCTATGGTGTTACATGCTTTGGAGAGTTTTTGGTGGTGGGTAGGAGCTGCAGTTTCTCATAAGAGACTAGTAAAATAGTTCAAAATAGGGAAGTTAAAAGGTTTTATAGCAACATATTAACACTATCATAAACAAATGCCACATGACCTGAATAAATCTAAAAAGGTTAACATATCTGAAATTTAGGTATTAAGTTCTATATAAACAATGATCAGATCCTCTTAATCCATTTTATACATTCATCAAGATTTTAGTTTTATTTTCATTTCTTTATCTCTACAAACCGTGGTTCAGAGAAGATGCCTCACCTTTTACAAAGCACTCTTACACTCGCGTTTTCTTAACACTAGTTTTCTTAACTTTCTTAACACTACAACTAGTTTTATAATGGACTACATGAAAATCGAAACTACAGCTCAGCTGGTGTGGCTCAGTAGATTGAGCGTCATCCCATGGACTGAGAGGTCCAGGTTTGATTCCCACGTCAGGGCACACACATGGGTTGTACGCTTGATCCCCAGTAGGAGGTGTGCAGGAGGCAGCCGATGGATGTTTCTTTCTCACATCAATGTTTCTATCTCTCCCTCCCTTCCTCTCTCTCTAAAAATCAATGAAAACATAAAAATTTTTTTGAAAAAAAACAAAACAAAATCAAAAACCAGATTGAAACTACAGCTTTCATTATTTTAAAAAATATCTTTTTTTCTTTATTTATTTTAGAGAGAGAGGAAGGGAGAGGGAGAGAGATAGAAACACTGATGAGAGAGCATCGGCTGGCCGCCTCCTGCATGCCTCCCACTGGGGATTGGGCCCACAACCTGGGCATGTGTCCTGACCAGGAATCGAACTGGCAACCTCTTGGTGCATGGGGTCAAAGTTCAACCACTGAGCCACACCACCTGGGCACAGCATTCACTATTAACATGCATTTAAGGCAAATAATGCCAACCCATAGCCCCATCCTTCCAGTTATTTTCAAGCAGCAGACAAAAGAAAGAGTCCATTCTGACATTTAAGGTTAATTTAAAGTATATATATACCTGGGGGATGGGGTGGGGCTAGAGAAACCTGCATCACAGTTTGGTGGCTTTTCCTAGTCAGCTGAGGAAGTAGCTTAAATGGCACTCTCTGAAAGCCGTTAAATCAGAGACCCTGTGCACCTGGCTAAGGACTCTTGTCTCAGCCCACAGTGAGCGGGCGAAGTCCTCCGTGTGTCACTTAGCGCTGAGTGAGTTCAAAGTCTGACAGTCTTG